GGAATTTATGTTTTAGCCTGAATTTGTTAGGATGTATTAAAAGGTTTCAAGTAGGGAAATGATATGATATGCCTTCTCATTAAGTCAAAATTAAATTCACTCAGAAATACCCAAATATAGCATGTGAGACTTGATGTACATGTATTTGAATTACCATCATGGGAGTAAATTGTTTCCCCCACAACCCATGTTGCAAAGAAAGAAAGGACTATTAATTTTTTTCAACAGGAAGAGGCTAAGAGAGCTTCTGAAGTTCTTGCTTGTGGCTTCAGATTTCAATTTTTTTAGTATTGATAATTGTTGTTCAGTCACCCTGTCATGTCCGACTCTTTGCAGCCCCATGGACTGCAGCGTGTCAGGCCTCACTGTCTCTCACCATCTCCTGAAGTTAGCCCAAGTTCATGTCCTTTGCATCAGTGATGCCATCCAGCCATCTTATCCTCTGATGCCCCCTTCTCCTTCTGCCTTTGATCTTTCCCAGCATCAGGGACTTCTCCAGTGAGTCACTGTTCAGATGACCAAAATATTGGAGCTTCAGCTTCACCATCAGCCCTTCCGATGAGCTTTCAGAATTGATTTCCCTTAAGATTGACTGGTTTGATCTCCTTACTGTCCAAAGGACTTTAGGACTCTTCTCCAGCACCACAGTTTGAAGGCATCAATTCTTTGGTGTTCTGCCTTCTTTATGGTCCAGCTCTCACAACCATACGTGACCACTGGGAAGATCATAGCCTTGATTATAAGGTCCTTTGTCAACAGAGTAATGTTTTCAACACACTGTCTAGGTTTGTCACAGCTTGCCTGCCAAGAAGCAATCCTCTTCTGATTTCATGGCTGTGGTTACCATCCACTGTGATCTTAGAGCCCAAGAAGAGGAAATCTGTCACTACTTCCACCTTTTCCCCTTCTATTTGCCATGAAGTAAATAGATCAAGGCCGGATGCCTTGATCTTAGTTTCTTTAATATTTAGTTTTAAACCAGCTCTTTCACTCTCCTCCTTCACCCTCATCAAGATCCTCTTTAGTTCCTGTTTGCTTTCTGCCATTTGAGTGGTATTATCTGCATATCTGAGATGGTGGTTGTTTCTCCTACCTGTCTTAATTCCAGCTTATAACTCATCCAGCCCATGCATTTCTCATCTCATATCATGAGAAATGCATATAGGTTAAACAAACATGGTGACAGTAGACAGTCTGTCATACTCCTTTCTCAATCTTGAACCAGTCAGTTGTTTTAACTGTTGCTTCTTGACCCACATACAGGTTTCTCAGGAGACAGGTAAGATGGTCTGGTATTCCCATCTTTTTAAGAGCTTTCCACAGTTTGTTATGATTCACACAGTCAAAGGGTTTAGTGTAGTCAATGAAACAGAGGTAGATGTTTTCCTGAAATTCCCATGATTTCAGATCCAGTGAATGTTGGCAATTTGATCTCTGGTTCCTTTTCCTTTTCTAAACCCAACTTGGACATCTGGAAATTGTTGCAAGATTTTAAGCATGACCTTACTAGCATGGGAGATGAGTGCAGTTGTTCGATGGCTAGCACATTCTTTGGTACTACCCTTCTTGGGAATTGGGATGAGGATTGATCTTTTCCAATCCTGTGGCCACTGCTGGATCTTCCAGATTTGCTGACATATTGAATACAATACCTTGATGGCGGCATCCTTTAGGATTTTGAATAGTTCTACAGTAATTCCATTTTAATATTTCCAGATTAATAATTAATAATAATCATGATCATTTTAAGGAAAATGTTGGGGTGAATATCACAGAATTGTTGCTTTGTTCATTTGCTACATATCTGTTTATTCCACATGCAAGATACTACTTTGTATTGTAGCCATGTATTAGGATAAGCAGAGACCTTACCCCATGAGTTCTTTTGACTTAATTTAATGAAGATGATAGCCCCACTTCGTCAACAGAGCTATGCAGTTGTTTGGCAATTGAGATGAGTTTTTTTCTATTCTATTAGCACTCTTCCTCCTAGTTCACATGGTGGATAGTAGCATGCAAGGAAATGACTGACTAAGGCTAGGGAATGCAAGAAAGTGACAGGTCACAGTGACCTGGACCAATGATCTTGGAATTGTGAGGAAAAGGATCAAACCAAACATGCAACAGATAAGTGAGTCTCTACATGCCTTGCATACCAGTATCGCAGCTAAGATTAACTGTCTCTCTGAGTGTGTGTTATATAGTCTCATTTCAGTGAGACTAAAAAGTTCACATATGATTCTCAAGCTGTGTGTTGTTGTGGGGAAACCTTTTAGATCTTTGGAGTTCTAAGAAGTCAGAGACTCCAGTCTCTCCTGGGTTCTGGCCTGAACTGACTTGTGGCTATGACTAGAACACTTCCCTCTCCAGGACTCAGTTTCTCTCCTCTGTCAAATAAAGTTATTGGACTGATCTTTAATGTCTCTCCAGCACTAATGTTTGATGATTTAATGAGTCTAAGGATTGCCTTTTGGGGATAGGCCTATGTGATAGAGATGATAGTAAAACTCAGTAAAAATTCAACTGAAAATCCTCTGCCATTTTTAGCCTGATAAGAATTATTTAATATCATGAGAACTCATCTAGCTTAGTAGGAGCTCTTGAGTCTTTTTTAAAATATATTTATTTGTATGTATGCATTTGGCTGTGCCAGGTCTTAGTTATGGCATATGAGATCTCCAGTGTTTGCTGAAGCATTCAAACTCTTAGTTGCAGCATGTGGGATCTAATTACCTGACCTCGAACTTGGGGCCCCCTGCATTGGGAGTGTGAAGTCTTAGCCACTAGACCACTAGGGAAGTCCCAGAACTCTTGATTCTAAGTGGATCTAATGATTATGTCAAAGACAAGATGAATCTGTGATGACAACAAAGCCAGCTATGTAAAGATTTCCCCATATGGATGGCTAAAGAGAGTGGGATGTAATTGAGATTAAATAGATATTTACAAAAACCAGTGAATTACCTCAAAATGAGGTTTCTTTTTGGCTTGTTCCACTAATAATAGTAATACCTAATCTTTGCTTTTTTTGATTTAGCTTCTTGACTATTGTCCTGTTAGCTAATTAGGCCCTGATTTATAGCCTATGTAAAAGTAAATCTCCTCTTAGGACTTCTTAGTAATATATGTGAATAGATTTGCACCTCCTAGTTTTGAGCCACTCGAGCTGTTCACCTCATTGGGGATTTGCCTGCTAAACTCTTATTTCTGAGCATTCCAAATTCTTGAGATTTTTTATCCTTGCAACTGCCAGTTCATCTGAAAGATCAGTGAGAACATGAAATGTTTTCTCTACCATGTTTTCACTTTTATTGCATATATAATAAACATGCCATTTTAGTAAATAAATATGTTCACCTCGTTGGAGGAGTCTCTTTCATTCTCTTCCCGGTAACACCCAGAGACAAAGCATCAGGTTTAGTCACACTGTGGCTTTCCAGCTTCAAATCAGAATCTGGAAAATACAAGCCAAAGCTGCTGAAAGAGGTGATCATTTTCCTTCTTTAAACAGGATAAATACAAAGCCAGTTTCTTTATATATTGAATATATGTAATATTTTTTACAGGGAAAAATAACTTTTTCTCTGATATTCAGCTTTAGGAAAACTTCACATAAAAATTTTTGTATTTGCCAAATAGACTTAACTGCGTTTGAAAAGGATAATATGCTCCGTGTTATTATCTTATGAGACATACTTACTTATCATCTAGTGGTAAATTGTTAAATATGAATTTTTAGCCTATAATAGAAACAAAAATTGTTTCTCAGATATCTTGGGTAATTCCTTCATGGAGCTGAAAGACTGTAAGTCTCACCCTTGACTCAAAGAAATGTTATTGCATGTGGTTAAAATATAATCATATATTATCTCATATAATCATATCATTAGCAGGAGTAAAGTAGTGTTTCTTTGCATAACTTCCTGAAATTCTTATACTACTTGTGTAAGATTAAATGTTTAATAAGCATATTCAAATTTATACTTCCAAATGAATATTGGTTCCTTTGCAATAGTTTCCTGGGAAAGTTACGCAATTATTTTAATGACTTTATTTATTTAATGATTTTATTGTTGCTGCAAATGGTGTGTGGTCCCTTCTTTTGAAACTGTTTGCAGAGCAACTTAACCTATCTGGTAAAATTCATGGTAATTTAAGTTCACTTATTTATGCATATGACAGATACAGAATATGTACTCTCTGCTAGTTGTGCTAATTTATAGGTTGATGAAAAATCAAAACAACATGACTCCTGTCTTTATTATGTTTATAATCTAGTGATTTTATTTTTTGGGAACCGCCAAAAGCTCCATTTGGTAAAGGTGAAGGATATTAGTGAATACCATTTTAGTGCAAAATTTTATGACTAAGGAGATTTTTGTTTTAACCTCATAAAGTAGTTTTCAAAATAGTATCAGAGAATTCCCAAAAAACAAAAAACTATTTTGTTCTAGATAGCTTCTTTGGAATATATTGATTGCTTGTCATGGTACCTAATTTGAAGGTTAACATACATTTAGATAGATGTTAACATTGCCATTTTACTTTATTAATTTTTATGTGTATTTTGAACATTATACTCTTCAGCTTCTGTTTGGTTAATATGAAAATTCTCAGATAAAGTCCTGGTTTGCCTTTGAGAAAACTGTTAAACAAGTGAGATACTTAGATATGATCGTCCTATCAATCCTTAGTTTTGTGTATGTATTTAAGTTTACATAAAGTACAGATACTTAGCTGGTCCTTCACTACTTTCCTTCAGTTTTTGCATGTGTATGATTATACACTTGGGAATAAAATGAAAGTGTCTAGTTATGCTTCATCTGGAATTACAATTGTATCATAAATAAAATTGGACTGGAAAGCTAATTTTACCCAGACATCCAATTCATGTTGTAAGTAGAAGGAAAAAAAAGTCTCACAGTGAATGTCAGAGGAGGGGCCCAGTGCACTGTTCTGGTAGCTTCATTTGTTGTAATACAACATGTTTGTCTCCACAGGAGGATCTTTGGACGTATATAGAAAAATTCCAGAACATGTCCTTGGAAGAATTGCAGTGGCGGTGAGTATATGGCTTCCACTCTATGACATTTGGATAATTTATTTGTGTTAGTCAGGCATTGTTCTCCTTATAGCCTTAGGATTTTTTGTTTTTCTTTTTCTTCAATCCCTACTGACTGTCAGGGTCTTCTTAGCTCTCTCATCGTTTTTGTCCTTTCTTCTTTTTGTAGACCAACCTATAATAATGACAGAAACATCACAGTTTTCAGGCTTATGGATTTTTTTTTTTTTTTTTTTTTGGCCACACCATGTGGCTTGCAGGATTTTAGTTTCTGAACCAGGGGTTGAACCTGGGCCCCATCAGTGAAAGGGCTGACTCCTTACCACTGGACCGCTCAGGAATTTCCTGCATATTCTGACTTGTGCTAATTCATGTGTTTGCAGGGATCTTACTACTCTTATTAATCAGTAAAATTTCCACATTCTTCAAAAAGAAAGCTGTTTCATTGACATTTTGTAGTTATAGGCATACAATTAGAAAATATGTGTAAAGCCTATATTATTAAAGTAAAACCATCTGCAGGGAAATACTATTTTAGTCTTAAAGATTTTTGTATACTTTTTATGTACTTGGTTTTTAATTTTGTCACCATTTGTATCTAGGAATTTATTCCTTTTGTTATTAAAAGTTTTCCATTTTTCTGTATTCACTAATAAACTGGTGAAGTATATCAACTAAATTAACATTATTATTTAAACTCCAGATTTCAAATTTGGAATAACATAGGCTAAACAGTGTCTAAGAGAAGTCATGCGTGGTGTAATAGTAAACAGTTGCTAACCTAAAGGCACTCTGATAACTTAAGCAGTTTAATGCAGAACAAAGTGATTATACCATGTACCATTTAATTAAATGGCTGATTTTTGCATTCATTATACATCAAACTGACAACTCAAATCCTTTAATCCAACATGGACCCTTATTTAGTCTTAGTTCATTGTAATTCACAGCTTTCCTTTTTTCTTTCCAATTATTAGTGTGAACTGCCCAGGGTGATGAGAACTTTCTTTTCTGATGCTATTTCTGCTAAGTAGCTTCTAATCTACATGTTTAGGTAGATGAGTATGAAATTCGAGTACTTAAATCACCATTTTAGATGAAAATAAAAATGTTTCATTTCCTCTTTTAATCTCAAGGGGAATGAATGCTTTGTGGCTTTTGGCAGTTCTTGGCTCTAAAGTTTAATAACACGTATAATAAAGGGCAAAAAAAAAAGAGGGATACCAATTGGAAAAGAAAAAAGTATATGTTCTCTATACTCAATTATCTATCAAACTTGGCTAAAATAGGAATCCGCCTTCTTCAGAAGAGAAGCTTGTTCTTCCTGGAGTTCATAAATCTTGCCTCCCTCTTATGTAGGGCAGCCACACAAGGCCATTGGTATTTTCAATTCTCCTGTGAAGTAGGAAGCCTGTGAAGTGAATGGAGTCAGAAAAAAAAAAAAAAAAATCCAACTCCAATACAGGGCTTAACCTATTGTGTAATCGAAAATATGACAGTGGTTTTAGTGAAAAGCATTTAAAATAAATGCCAGTTAACCTTCACGGTAACTATAGATTATTGTACATATTTTAAACATGTGCAGGATGAGGTATAGTAAAGTTAAATAGCTTGCCTAGAGTTCTGTAATTAATCAGTAATAATCAGAACCCAGGGCAATTTAACTCTGGGCCCCATATTCTTTCCCTCTGCTTTCCTAAGAGAATGAGAAAAAAAGAGGAGGAAATGAAAGGAAGAACATTTAAAATTAAAAGAGAGAATTACAAATGAGAGAATATGAGAGTAACAATATGCACTACTTCAGATTCTTTTCATGTCTTAGAACCTCATCTTGGCATCTCTCCCTTCCCACAGTAACTCTATTTTCTGAATTCTACTGGTCTGGCATGCTGTACAGGTCCACAGATCCAAGGTTCATTACAGAATAGACCCCTGTCAGCCTTTATACTATGTCGTTCACATTTTCTGTTGATGGATGTATGGCAAGAGAGTATTTTCCCAGACAAAGAAGTCCATATAAACTGGTTGATTTCAGCCTTCCAACTTGCTCAGTGATTTTTTTTTCACTTTGTTTGAATCTGGCCTTCCTATAAAAAAGAACGCTTTTCTGCCTTTCCCTGCCATCTAACACATTTTATTTTTCCTCTTATTTCTGAAGCAGTGACACTGTGTACTGTGAGTGCTAATGTTGATTGAAGTTGTCCCTGAAACGATGTGCACTTGACATGTCAAGGAGTGAGTGATTGACAGCAGATATAAGTACTTTTAGTGTCAAGGCTTTGTCAAGCCATTGTTGTGAAACCTAGCTTACTGAATACCAATAATACCCTCTAGATTTTCAGTGAACAGGTTGCTAGCTCCCTGTACACTTATTTTTCTTCTAAAGGAAAATGTAGTATATTTTGACAAAGTTGGAAGAATAATATTTTCTTTTTGAATCTCCAACAAAACTTTTAATTTTAGCAAGTATCATAAAATCAGTATTTGTTTTTACTTTTTTTCTGCACAGTAATCTGAATATGGTGGATTGACTTTGCCTTGTATGTTTCCTGATTGTTCATTTTCTGTGGGACTAATTTTTAGTGGTGAGCTATCTTTAATGGGAAAGCTTTATAATATTCAACTAAGCTTATGTTGAGAAATTTAACCTTGTTTTCAGAACTCAGAGGGTGATTACTAAATAAGATGACCTTGTCCTTTGCTCAAGGAAGATATTGTTTTTATTGTTAATGTTATTTTTTATAAGCATTTAAGGAAATATTTTTGTCCTGTTTCTTCCTTCTGTGTTAATTATTGCTATTTTAATATTTTCTTTTTTTTATTATCTTGCTGTTCAGAGTACATGTGTTTTATTGTAATGCCTAATTACAATAGTAATTCTGAATTAGTCTGAATTCTGGAAGAAATCATTTACTATAAATATGTATTCTGTTCTCTTAAAACAGACAAATATATCATAGAATTGATTATAATGCATTAGCAAATTTTTCAGGAGTACATTCCACTCTGAGAATAATTAAATATGTTAACTTCTGCTCAGCATTAATTGATACAGATTTTATCTTCTACATTTTTTGTATTTAGAAATTGAGTTTTCCCCTTTATATTTCTATTTTTAATATTGCTCTTAATCTTTTTTGATCAACTAAAATCCTTGCATATTTAACACCAACCCTCTTTCCATCATTCTCAAGATATGTAAATTGCCAGTTGCGTCTCATAATGGTAGTTTTTCTTATATTCCTAACTCACCTAAAAATGTCTATAGTGATGGACATTTAAATATTCTTGCAGTAAATTTTTAATGATAGTGGTGTGTCCTTTACATCTGATACCTAGTTATGAATAGTCAGCCTTCAGGTTGTTAAGTTCACACTCATGTGCATACAGGATCAGTGGGTATGAACAAAAACATATATATCTCCTTTTATAATATGAAATTTCTATATAAAGACTTTTGAGACTTTTACTGATTAAATTTCCCACACAGAAGGCAGCACTGTCGCCCATGTACTTAAGGTCTCAGAAGCATCTTCTTTTCAGTGTCTTACTCGACTAACTATTCTTAATTCAGGCTATTAAGTTTTGAAAATCCAAAGTCTAACTCAGGTGTCTATATTTTCTCTCTTTCTTTCTTTCACATGCCCTTTTAGTATTGTCTGCGTGATTCCGCACATGCACTTGCACCAGCCAGTCAGAATGGGCCATCATCTTGACGTACTTTGTTGTTTGCTACCCTAATGTCATTTAAAACGTCTTGGGGGAAAGTTTTTATTTTGGAATGATTTTAAACTTCCAGAAAACTAGTATTTGAAAATACTAAGTATTCCCAAAGATGCTTCACCCAAACCCCCCGGTTATTAACAATTAACCACATTTGCCTAAACATAGGTATGTTTGTGAGTGTGTTCGTCTCTCAGTCGTGTCCAACTCAGTGCACCCCCATGGACTATAGCCCACCAGACTTCTGTCCATGTGATTCTCCAGGCAAGAATACTGGAGTGGATTGCTATGCCCTCCTCCAGGGTATCTTCCCAACCCAGGGATCGAACCCAGGTCTCCTGCCTTGCAGGTGGACCTTTTACTGTCTGAGCCACAGCATGGGCTTCCCAAGTGGCTCATTGGGCGAAGTATCTGCCTACGAGACAGGAGACGCAGGTGGACGCAAGTTCAATCCCCAGGTTGGAAGGAGCCCCTGGAGAGGAGCATGGCAGCCCACTGTAGTGTTCTCGCCTGGAGAATCCCTTGACAGAGAAGCCTGGCAGGCTGCAGTCCATGCGGTCACAAAGAGTTAGACACGACTGAAGTGACTGAGCACGCACTAGGCCTGTGCACCACAACTACTAAACGCACACACACATGTGCACACACACTTAAAAATTTTTCTATTTTATAATTTATTTTTATTTTTGGCTATGCTAGGTCTTTGTTGCTGTGCTCAGACTTTTCTCTAGTTTTGTCAAGTGGGGGCCACTCTCTAGTTGTGGTGCACAGGCTTCTCATTGCGGTGGCTTTTCTTTTCGTGGAGCACAGGCTCTAGGGTGCGTGGGCTTCGGTAGTTGGGACACACAGGCTCAGCAGCTTGGCGCACAGGCTTAGTTGTCTTGCAGCACGTGGGATCTTCTGAGACCAGGCGTTGAATCTGTGTCCCCTGCATTGATAGGTGAATTCTTAACCACTGGACCACCAGGGAAGTCCCTATGTAGATTATTTTCCTGAAACATTTGAGAATAAGTTGTAAGTATCATGACCTTTTACTCCTAAATACTCCAGGTGTATTTTCCTTAAGAACAAATATATTCTCTTATGTCACCTCTATACACTGATTAAAATCAGAAAATTAGCACTGATACATCGTTATTATCTAATCAACAGCCCTTATTCAGGTTTTGCCAGTTGTCTAATAATACCCTTTATAGACCAAAAGAAAAAGTTTTCTGGTCCAACATCCAGTCTAGGATTATACATTATAATAGTTGTCGTGTCTCTTTAGTCTCTGTTAATCTAGAACAGTGTCTCGGTGTTTCTTTGTCATTCATGACCTCGATGTTTTTGAAAAACACACTGCCCCAACACTCTGATCATATATTTTTACCTTGGCCTGAATGCTTTTTCCACTTTTCCTCACATCAGTGGAATCTGTTGCTCAGAGCCTGGCACTTCAGTAAAGCCCTCTTGACTATTGTCAGGGGAAGCAGCCTTTACTCCATCCATTGCCTTCGTTAGTTAAGTTTTTTAAAATGTCTTTTCTTGGTGGGAGGGAGATTCAGGAGGGAGGGGACATAGGTATACCTACGGCTGATTCACGTTGATGTTTGGCAGAAACCAACACAATACTGTAAAAGCAATTATCCTTCAATTAAAAGTAAATTTGAAAAGGACTGTCTCTCCTTGGTCATAAATGTCATGAGTTAATTTGTTTTTTCATATGCGGAAGTATAGAAAAGAAGTGAGAATCTTTGTCCCTTTTTCCTGTCCCTGTCCCTCCCCTCGCCGTTCCCCGCCCGCCGCACACTACCACTGAGAACTTTGGTGTAACTGGACTTACAAGTCACTTTATGTGCACACATACTCATTTCTTTCATACCTTATCCTCAGAACATTGTGAGCTTATTAAATGAAGGAACCTATAGCTTGTACATTCAGTATCCCCACAGTACCCAGCACAGAAGGTGTTCAATAAATGCTTGTTGGTTAACAGACTTTTGAAGGAAGAAATTATGTTTGATATGATCGTGTGTTTAAATATGGAAAATTCCTTATAAAAACCATCATTGACATGTTTTCTCTTTCTTAAATTTAGGTTGTTAAAGGCCTTACTTATTTGTGGAGTTTAAAGATTTTACATAGAGGTATGTACTGAGCTTACAAGCTCTGACTTATTTGGGGGTGCGGTGGGGGAGCTCTCTGGATACCTTGATTTTTAAAGTGAATTAGGTGATCTTGTATTTAAGCCAGATGATATATTTGATAGTCAATAAGATGGCGCCTTCATAAATGTTATTTTTAAAAAATTTTTTTCCTTAACAGCTCTGATATAGATTATATACTTGGTATTATATTTATGTGAATAATATTTATGAAACACATAGAAGGTTATTTCACAGTATTTGGAAATGACAAGATCTTATTTTTCTTAACTCTAGTTAATGAAAAACCTTCACTTTCTAGCACTTGCATCCCTTCCTTTTGTTAACATTTCAAATACCCTCACGCACTGTTTCTTAAGAGGCAGCTTCACAGACCTTGAAAGTGAATTGGTGAATTCTTTAAGGAATTGGTGAATGCATCAGCAGTTAGTCTCCTAAGTCTATTAACAGAATACATGAAAAGAATTACCAGGTAACTGTTGAGTGTTGCAAAAGGAACCTCCTTTTGTACTTTTTAATATTCCTAAAATGCCTGAATTCATTTGGAGCAAATTATTAAGTGAGAAACAGACTATAAAAAAGCAACTTCCAGTTGGCCTAATGTTAGTAACTACTGTTTAAGTTTACACATCTGTTCAGCCTAGCTTTATGCACATTTGGAGAATGCAACAACATACACATTAGATGTGATTAAGGGAAATTTTGTTTGTTTTTAAGGTATAAGCTATGAAAGAGAAAACAACTGATGCCTTCAGTTGTAGCATGACATCTGTCACTAAGGGTTTTTTGTTGTGATTGTGGTGGTGGTTTTAATATCCTAGTGATTCCAAATTTTTGTTTGAATTCTCCTTCCTCTTTTGAAGAGGGTATGTAGAATAGATATTGACATGTAAAACTTTCAGTTCAATTCTTGAAGGTGTTTATGCTGATTAAATGGAATCATAAATCAAGTTTTTCTTTAAAGCCAGTCCACTCTATTTCTGAGTATATAGTTGGTACAAAAGTTATATGTAGAGAGAGTGAACTAAATGTGTCAGTGTTATTCTTCCTGGGAATAAATAAACATGTAAATACACCTGGTGGGTGAGAAAAAGTGAAGCATTGTCTCCCCTGGGATTAAAAGAGAACAGTCTTTAATGTGACATGACTTGTTCCTCCCCTGTGCTCCTGCTGCCCACACTTGCCAACCCATAAAGTGGTTATGACCATTTTAATAGGAGTTAACACAGTGGTCAGTTCTTGTCATTTTATTGATTTTTATTAACACCTGCTATCCTTTTGACAAAGGAACTCAAGGAAGTCATCAGTGCTCAGCAGCAGAACCTTTGTTTAAAGGCCTTTGCCATGGAAATGCAAATGTTATTATTAAAGTGACCCTTAGGCTCATCCTATACTCTGGGCGGACAGCATAATTCTAGCTTATAGGGAATTCTCACTAACAATAACTTTCTATGAGGACTCTTAGTAGCACTGAGAACTATAGTAGGTAGGGAAATGCTGTTCAGTTTTAGCTTCACTTTTTGTCTGGAGGAATAGTGGCATTTTTCATTTGCAGTGGTGTCTTGATAGACATTTCTAATGGATTTACGTCTGGATGTGAAAATAAAGACTGAAGTGTTGGCTAGAGTCTTGTACCACCAAGCTGTAGTCTCTGTGGGCAAGTGTGGTTGACTGGAGCCTCTCAGGCAGGGAGGTCCTTCTCCCCAGCTCTGGATGCAGTGTGGGTTGGGAAGGGCTCTTTGAGCAGTGGTGTATGAGGGCGTTAGTGGTTTGACTGATTAAGGTCATAGAGGTTTCAAAAGGAATCCTACGCCTGTGGTTCTCTTTTCAGTTTGTGCTGGCCGGTCCAGTTCCCACAGAGAGTAACCCCGATAAGATGCCACTGGTTATGGGTTAAGGTTATCAGTGAGAGGCTGAGTGGGCCAACTAACCCTCTCAAGGAATTTCCATTTTTAAAATTTACTTGTTTAACTGAAGTACAGTTGATTGACGATGTTGTGTTCAGGTATCCAGTGTGTTGTGTTCAATGTTCAGGTATACGATGTTGTGTAGGATACAGCAAGATGATTCATTCATACACAGATTTTACACAATTATACACAGATTTGTACAAAGATATACAGATTTTTTTCCCACATAGGTTATTACAAAATATTGAGTATAGTTCCCTGTGCTATAGAGTAGTTCCTTGTTCGTTATCTATTTTATATATAGTAATGTGTATATGCTGCTACTGCTGCTGCTGCTGCTAAGTCGCTTCAGTTGTGGCTGACTCTTTGCGACCCCATAGACAGCAGCCCACCAGGCTCTGCCGTCGCTGGGATTCTCCAGGCAAGAACACTGGAGTGGGTTGCCATTTCCTTCTCCAATGCATGAAAGTGAAAAGTGAAAGTGAAGTTGCTCAGTCGTGTCTGACTCTTCGCGACCCCATGGACTGCAGCCTACCAGGCTCCTCCATCCATGGGATTTTCCAGGCAAGAGTACTGGAGTGGGTGCCATTGCCTTCTCCGAATGTGTATATATTCAGTGTTAAATAAGTACCAGTAAGTGAATGTGAGTCTATGTCTCTCTCGATGCAAAGACTGATGAATTACAGTGCAGATGGACAGTTATTCCCCAGTAATTATGGGTACTCAGCTATAGAAACAGTGTTCTGTCGTAGTTTACCTTATTAAATATGTATGTTTAGCTTTTGAGTTTCCTTGTTATTTGTGGAAATTTTTACCTTCTGGATTTAAAAGTACATATTTTTTTATTGGAGAGTGAAAGAAGCCAAGTGTCCCTGGAGACTTTCGTAAAGCTTTGTAATGAGAAATTTACTCTAAATTGAGTAGTTGTTAACTTAATATTTTAGAGGTTTTGTCCATATTTAATAACTTGGATTTCATAAAAATAAGATTAAAGATGCCTTTATATTTACCAAAAGCTATTTAATTTTCTCCTTGATTAAAAAATTGTAGCCTTCTAGATCAGTTCAATCAGGCAATTAAAGATCAGAGCTTTTAAGTTCAGCTAAGGCAATTAAATAGGTAATATACTTTTTTTATACACTTATGCTGTATAGGCTTATTGCTGTACCTTCTTAAAAGCGCATATCCTTGTTTGTGCTTTCTCGAAATGAATGGGGAGGGGAGTTCTAGCTGACTGTGTCATGTTGTCAAATCAAAGACAGTGGTCCTCCTCTGGCGGGGGTTTCGGGGGAGCCCGGGACAAATGCTGTGAGAAGACAGAGCGAAATAAAGACAGTGAAAGACAAACACTAAAAAGTGAGCTCAGCCTCCTTTCCTTTGTCTTGTCTGAGTACCTGTGCTTTCCTCTGATAGTTGCTTCCTTCCCTACCAGCCACTGTCCCTAAAAGCCAGAATCCTTATACTTCGGAACACAGATTTCAAAAGATTAAGAAATGGATATGTATTCAGTAAGAGGACAAACTGTTTCTCACATTTCAGTAGCTTCCTTGAAGTATAATGGTCCTGGATTTGTGACTGTTAAAAAAAAATTTGTGACTGTATATAAGTATATAATATATTGTGGAATTTATATTATACAAGATAGTTAATGGCTCCCAGACAAGAAAATTGAGCCTTTCCTATAGAGCAAAACCTCCTGAGGACTGTAGAGCAGAATGAAGCCTGAGCAGCAGCAGCGCCAGGCCACCCATCTGTGCTGTGAGCCTTGTTAGGCCAGGGCATTTGTGTATTGTGTAACCTGGAAATATTTTTAGGAATTGAAGTGTATAAGATCCCACCCACCCATACGGGACCATCGTATATTATATTCAGTCAGGTTTTACTGATGTTTATTTTGTTCTTCTCACAATCTAGTTAACGTGATATATATGAAAGTTTTTATAAACTATCAGATAGTGCAGGTATGTTTTAATTATATAAAAACTATTATTAGAATTAACCACTTAATCCTGTTAATAAGCTTATCTCATTTCCAAATCAATCCAGGGAGAGAGTTTATTCTACTTTGTATTACTAGGTCAAAAATTATGAAAATCTTTTCTCCAAGAAAAGCATGTGATATCACATGAAGACATAATTATTAAAACTGTTTGAAACTTCCACCAAGATTAACTACTGTGGAAAAAATTATCTTTATTAAAAAGCATTCGTGTGAGCCCTGTAAGCATAGCATGTACTGACTGAGTAAAAACAAAGAAAATGAACAGTGAGAAAGTCTGTTAGGCCAGATCCAACATTACAGCAAATATTGCAGCTTAACTTCAAAACATACATCGCCACTAATGAGGTGAGAGCCCTGCATATTAATAAACCTACAGCTCCAGTCACAGCCATCATTACCCACATCAAACATAAATACAAGATTAACACCTATGCCATTTCTTTGGAAGATGTGAGAATGCCCTGGCAGTAACTGCTCTCTCTTTCCCTGAGGATAAAAAATAGAAATGGAACAGTAATGAGAATAGAACTTGGATTAAGAAAATAAAATTGGCAGTCAGGCTGGGGCAGTCTTACACAGATGGAGGAGTTTATAGAAAGAAAAAAGGCTAGATAGTTGGTGTCCCAGGATATTTTTTGTATGTACGATCCTGGTTTCATTAATTTTATCTAATAGGAGAGCTTTTTCATATTTTATATATATACATACATATATATGTATATATACATATATATGTATGTATGTATATAGTTGTATTACTCTGAAGGTGAATGCTGCCCAAACAGATTTGTGTTTGGAGAAACTAAGTCTCATGGTTTCAATATACATGTTAGAAATTTTATTTTCTACCCCCTTATTATTTTTTTTATAAATCTGGCCTCAATACTTATCTTCCAGTTGTTGTTGTCTTAGACACCAAAGCCAATTTAAAAAAATTTTTTTTTAATTGAAGGATAATTGCTTTATAAAATTTTGCTGTTTTCTGTCAAACCTCAGCATGAATCAGCCATAGGTATACATACATTCCCTCCCTCTTGAACCCCCGCATCTCCCTCCCCATCCCACCCCTC